CTCGAATATTGCAAAAATCTTTTAATCCTTCATCCGTCTTAAGAAGTTAGCTGAACAAAAAACAAATCTAAAAATCCCTATATAGGTTTAAGAACGATTTTACTCTACTAATTTCCGAAGTAAAGAGGTACAACCTATTAGATTTGAGAATTTTGTAAGCCAAAGCATGTAATCCCTTCTTTTTGACTTTCACTACGTTCCCACAGAGAATGATAGCTGAGCTATCACTGAAGAATGTACTTTTTTTATTTAAAGTCACTTATCAACTGGTTCGTAGCTTCAAACCGGTTTAGTGTAAAGTCTGCTCAGTTAAAACACTGTTTGTTTAAATTCACAGCAAGTTTGATTTATTATCCTATCAATTCTTCACATCATCTATAAAAAAATATTCCCATTAGTATCTGCATGTCTTAGTTAACCTCTTCGTGGTAGTTTCAATATGTAAGAAAAGAATAGGCAACAACAAAGTCATAAATACATAGGCATCAATAAATCACGATCATGTGTATATAATTAAACTTCTTTCTTAATAAGCAGAAACTTCAGGGCGATGGATTTCAAAGGAAATAACAGCAAAGTTAATGCGATTCTTCCAAAAAAAATCTATGTAGCTGTAATTGCGAGACAATGCTATGCTTCGCCTAAAAGTTGAGTAATTTCGGGTAATGGACTCCAAGAAAATTATAGGGAGAATAAATGCGAGATTCTCTCCTAGAACCTCATTTTGCCAATAATTGCACTACATTATAATATCATTGTGGAAAGCCCTCACATTACACTTGATTCTAGCAGCGGAGATAATGTAGAATACAATCTGTCGTGGCAAGAAATCTTGCGAATAAATGATTTCTATCAAACCAAAGTCCTCATAAAACTGAAGCTCAGATTCAAATATTTAATGTTGAATCAGAGATTCTTTTTTTTAAAGAAATTAACTACCTTCAGCTTCTTCACCGCATCCACATCTGAAGGTGAACGATGGCGTTTAACACCACGAACATCTCCATTAACATCAATTTCTTCGTTTTCTTTTGTACACACGTCCACTTCGGTCATTGTTAAGGTGAT